GGAGGGATTTTTTGTGTTGAAAATTGTGGAGCAGGAGGGTGAATAATAACAGCCTGACAGGAACAATTCCTAGCTCATTGGTAAACTTGACCCGAGTCACATTTTTGTACATTCTCTCTCTTTTATTTTCCATTTTAATTTACTTCTATTTATGTAGATAATAATGTAACTTAATTAATTTTCAGGGATTTGTCGTACAATAACTTGAGTGGACCAGTTCCAAATTTACTAGCCAAAACATTCAAGTAAATCCATTTTCACGTTCTAACTTATCCACATTTATACGTTACCCTGATGCAGTATCTATTTTATAATAGGCATTTTAAATATAAACTATATAATGGGACTTGTGATGCAGTGTTATGGGCAATCCACAGATTTGTCCAACTGGGACTGAGATAGACTGTAATGGAACTCAATCTAAGTCAAGATCAACTGGTAGACTGTAAAGGGACTCAATCTAAGTCAAGATCAACTACCTTGAACAGTTCTCAACGTAAGTAAAACCTAAAACTTCCATCTTGAAACGTTAAAAGATAAATCTTTGAATTCTAGAGTTTGTAAGCTAAAATGAGTTTCTTTTTTACTTTGTTGTTGTTATTAGATGAGACATCTGATGGAGGCACAAAAAATCGGAAAATGGCGATAGCCATAGGTTTAAGCCTTGCTTGTGTTTGCTTGTTGATCATTGGCTCTGGTTTTCTTCTTTGGTGGAAAAGAAGAAAAGCCCAACAAGACATTAATGGTAACTTAACAATGTAAAAATAAAATCCTTTTTCCATTTTTTTTTTGCGAAGTATTGAATGTAAAATCAGAATCAATATGTGTCTGAATTTGGATATTTTCAAGAACATGAATCTGCAACGAGTAACTTCATCAGCAAGAATCTGGTTGGGAAGGTGTATAAAGGTTAAAGGTAAGAAGTATCTCCAATCGATCAGGGTTTTGCGGTTTATTGTTTTCGATTTTTGATTTTAGAAAAAGTAGTAACCAAAACCAAACCTAATTTTGTACAGATTTCAATTCGGTTTCGCTCTTTTTGTTTAGTTTTTGAATAATAAGTTAACAAAATATAAACCGATATAATGGTTTTGTACCCTTTATTTCTAATATATAATATCATTATTTTTTAGATTTTTTTTCAATTTGGTTCGGATTCGGTTTGATGGATATAAAAATGTAATTAGTTTAAGATTTAGTTTTGTTTATGAATTGATTATTAATTCCAGTTCGGTTTCATGTCAGTTTTGTTGGAAAGAGAAAAGAGGAAGAACTGGTTATAAGTGTATTTGTGCTTTGTTTTGGAGTAAGAGAGAGCTGAAGAACATGTTAATATTCTGATGAAAGCAGTTCTTGTTTGTGTTTGAAGTTTACGTTTTAATGTTCGATGATGTGTTGTGTTTGAACTTTAAAGCTGTTTTAATGTTTGTGTGTTCTAAAATTAATCTTCTTTGTCATTTGTGATACTAGAAAATGACTTGCGCATTCGCGCGAGTTTTTGTTATACA